TGGAACCCGAAATGGAAGCGGCGAGTGGGACGTCTAAGGGTGACATGGAGGAGATCGTGTGAAGAGGAGTTGAAACAGTATGGATTAACATGGACGCAGGTGAAAAGTACAGCAGAAGAGAGAAACAAGTGGAGACGTGTAGTTGAAGCCCTATGTTCCACTAGGAACCCAAGGGAACAATAATGAAAATAATATATTATCTTTGTCTTACTGTCGCCTTTGAAGTGTAATCACCTGTCGATAATATTGATTGATTCACTGTAATTTAAAATAGTATTGAAGTTGTTAATAAGAATATTTCTTAGATTACCACTGTCACATAAATGTAGAACTTGATGAAGAATGGGTTGTTAGAAAGAATATTCTTTGTTCATTAATCATTCTCTAAACTTTAGGCTCCTAATTAACATCAACTTTATATTCAGTGTCTGCTGGTTTGCCTTAAACGGAATTAGAACAGTAAACCTTGATATAAGTATAAAACTTGGGCACTGTGGTAGAGTATAAGTCCATTATGGATAAGATTTTATTTTGATAAATCACACAGTATTTGTTATACAGTAATATTAACTGGTGACCAAGTTTCGAGTACAAACTATTGCCACTCATAATCATATCAAGTCACTACTCACACAACTTTTTTGCTTCACTTATATACATGTGTGGAATCGATTAGATATTGGAATAAAATTCAATATGGGATAATGTGCATTCAGAAATAATAATAATATGAGTGTTATTGATCAATTACAATCAGATGAGAAATAAGACGAGTGTTTTTATAGTCAAAATAAGTAACTTGTTAGAATGTTGTGATGTACGTGAATTGAAAAAGAATTTTGAGATTATTTATTATCCCCCTCTGATTTGACTGACTGGCGGTAATAATATCTTCCATATTTCTGGTATTTGCATTGAGTCATTTCTGTTGCATGTGTTCGGTGTAGACTCAATGAACCAGGCAGGATTCAGTAATCAGTCTCTCTTCACCTACCTATATTACTTCTTAGAATCTTAACACTCTCCAACCCCATTGTGTGGTTGTGTGTTAATGCGTAAAGTGCAATGGCTGAGCTTTTTTCTAAATTATCTTGTGCGTCGGTGGTATAGTGGTTAGGACGCTCGCCGACCATGTACATGGTCCGGGGATCGATCCCCGGCCGACGCACTCCTTTACCTCGCTAAGCCAGAAATAATACTGGTGAAGAGGAAAGGTTGGGCATGAGGCTAGCAACCCCATCCTGTAAAATAAACACTGCTACAGAAACTTCAGGCCACTAGCTTGAAGCCCTATGTTCCACTGGGGAACGTGAAAGGATAAAAAAAAAAGTTATCTTCTCGGGGTCCACCATTCTTACCTTAGCTAAATTCTTATCTTCTGACAATCTGACTACCCCTGACCTACTAGTTTGACCTATGTAGTTGACTTCACAGTCGTTGTAGGGTATTTTGTAAATTATATTATTTTGTTTAATTGGGTCCACCCGGTCTTTCAACCTACAAAGCTTATCTCTCAGTGAGTTTGTAGGTTTGATTATCACTCTAATTCCTGCTTCATTGAGAATCCTACGTAGGGTCTCAGATGTCCCCGCCTTATATGGTATAACTGTAGATGACTTATATTCTCTCTTATTTATGTTATTACTACTAGTTACACAATTATTTTTATTTTGTTTTTGGCCCTTTCTGATCTTCCTAATGAATTTCATAAAATAGTTATTTGATACCAAGGCTTCTTCTATCTGTTTTATTTCGTCATTTTGGTTGCTTTTTGTGCTACTAAGTGCTATGGCTCGGTTTGTTAAACACTTAACCAAGCCGCCTGCCTTAACAGTTAATGGATGAGATGAATTAAAGTCTAAATATCTGTTAGAATGAATTCGTATTATAGCCACTAGTCAAATCAGAGGAGGATAATAAATAATCTTAAAATTCTATTTCAATTCAAACACATCATAACATTCTAACAATTATCTTATTATGACCATAAAAACACTCGTCGTATTTCCCAACTAATTTTAATTGATCAATAACACTCGTATTATTTCTGAATGTACATTATCTCACATTGAATTTTATTCAAATATCTAATCGATTCCACACATGTATATAAGTGAAGCAAGAAAGTTGTGTGAGTAGTGACTTGATATGATTATGAGTGGTAATAGTTTGTGCTCGAAACGTCATCAGTTAATATAACTGTACAACACTGTGTGATTTATCAAAATAAAATCTTAACCATAATGGAGTAACAGTAAACCTGGTTTATCCAATAGTTGACGAAGAAGCCTGATGTTCAGAAATCGGATGAATTCAAATTTATTTCAAATTGACAAGTGAATAAAGGAGTTAGAATTCATGGGCTCGTTGTCCATTGGACTGACGGGTTCCAGTGTCTTAATGGTCTACGAGCTCGCTGGTTACAAGCGCAGAGTACTGGACAGCTGATTCGTCAGCCTAATTTGGGACTCTTCATCAGTACTCACCTACCACAGGGTTTAGAACCCAGGACCTACAGGTTACAAGGTCAGCAAACTTGTTGACCATTATGCCACTGGAACCTGATCCAATGGCCACCCACCCCATGAATTCTAACTTCTGTCAATTCAAGATAGGGCGTGACCACTTCGCAATGTCTTCTTCGATGAGTTACCGCCTCATCTTCAACCTGCTTTACACTACCGGCCAGGGCTTTTTCTCTTTCTCTCTCTCTCTCCAACTTCCCCTTGTTGTTTCTTGCCAAATTCCATATCTCTAATTCCACATATGAGGTGTTGAATCGATAGACAAAAGTTCATTGGTTAACGTCTCTCTCTCTCCAATTAACTATACTAATTTTTTATTACTTTCACCCCGTCCCAATCACCAAACTGTGTGACGATGACATGCAAATCAATGCAACAGGTTGTGATGACTTATCCGTCTTCTAGGTTATTCAACTTCGCAGGCTCAATCATTCTAGATGTCTAGCTACATTTTTATTAATAATAATCTTCTATAGTTTGGCTTGTAAGGGTTAGTTATGTTCTTACGAGTTGATCATGGACTGATATCAGTTAGAGAACCATTGTAAACCAGGGAGTACTGGAGAGGTGCTGTTTCATCCTGGTTTGGGAATCATCGGCAGTACGCACCCATTGGGATTCGAACTCAGGACTTTCCGCTTACAAGGCAAGGTCGTATACGATTCAGCGAGATGCCCAGTACTCCCTGGTTTTCAGTGGTTCTCTAACTGATATCAATCCGTGGTCAACTCGTAAAAATAATATTAATAGTAATTTGCTTTATTCCAGAAACAGTACTAGTGGTACAGTGTGGAATTTTCAGCACATATCTACAATATTTGCATCTAATTTTATCAAACATTTAAAAGGAGTATTGCAAAAAATAAATATAAAGACACCAACAACAACAAAAACACAAAAATAATTTTTTTTAATGCGAAAAAATACCAAGAGGTAGAAAGGAAAATAAACAACATATAATAATATCTCAGTATTGAGTGTTGGAAGCTATGATATGATTATGCATGGTGACAGTAAAGCTATAGTCATACAAGAAGTTATGAAATGATATTTAAGAATGTTTATCGCCAAGATGATCAGTTAATTTGGTTGAAATAACTCTAAACAATCATTAAATAACATTTCAGGGTTGTTGTTTTGTTTTTTATTGTCAGGTCTAATGCGGTGTTTGCAGTGGTAGTGTGAGTAATCCTGAATAACAAAAAATTTTAAGATGGTGATAATGGCTTTCACAACCAGGATTGTCAGTTAATATTGCTGAACAAAAAAAAAAACAACCACAAAATCTAATAATTACATGATGGTTAATGACAGGACAATTTTGTAATACTCATAGTGCTAATATTGTCGGAACCAGTAGATACACAAAAGAAGGAATAGAGCAAAGTACAAAAAAGGAAGCCTATGTTAATAATTTAGGTATCTAACTGACGCCTACCTACTAGTAGGACCTATGTAACTGACCCCACTCACAGTCATCATTACATGGCATTTGGTAAATTATATTGTTGTTTTTTGTCTAAAGGGATCTTTCCGGTGGGTCCTTAAGAGAGGTGGATGGTTGGTTGGTTGGTATAAATGCCACTCTAATTTCAGCCTCATTGAAAGTCACACGTTAGGCCTCTGATGCTCCTACACATTCCTGTGTTTAAACCTTGTGGTGGGTGTATACTGTTAAAGAGTCCCAAACTAGTGGGACGAAACAGATGTCTTGTACTCTTAGCCAGTTTTCCAATGGTTCTCCAATGAAATCCTCCAAACGAATCAAACAAAATCCCTACAAAACCAATACTTGAAAATTTTATTTCAATTTTTGACCATGTACTGATATCAGTTAGAGGACCATTGAAAACCGGTAAGGATCAATAAAAAGCTGTTTCGTCCCAGTCTCTTGGTAGTCATCGGGACTCCACACCCACTAATAGGGTTTGAACCCCAGATCCTTCAAGTAACAAGTCAATCTCGAAGATCATTCAGCCACTGATTAGATCTGGATCAATGACCAATCCATGAATTCTAACTTTCACCGATTCGCGACTTGCAGCAACCAATATCATTGACCGAATGGGCCAATGTGGTCGTGCACAGCCTATGAATCCCTAGTTTTCAGTGGCTCTCTAACTGATTGATATCAATCCGTCATCAAATCCTCGTAGAATAACTCTTGAAAAAGAATACTACTGTACAAGAACATGTTTTATTTATTTATAAGTGTAATTCATCTAATAATTTTCTAATTGCCTTCTTTATTCTCTTAAAAAAAATTGAAACTTTTTTTAAATCACATGTTTCACTTACTACTTAAATGCCATGAGTAGTTTCTGTTTACCAATAATAATAATTATTATAATTTTTTTTGTTGTATTCTAAATATTTTTTGTATTTGTCGTATTTGTTCCTTTACAGACGCTCAATCAACTAAACATTTTTCGGGATTCCTTTTGATCTAAGAATTGTATTCACGTATATCACTGTATATAATTCAAGGAAAAAACAATCAAAGCATTTATCAAAAGAAAGAGAGAGAGAGGTTGAGAGACGAAAGACGGCTCAGTAAACAAAGTTAAAGTAGATAAACTCATAATTAACAAACATTAATATCCATCTTCTCATCCACCTATCTATACGCACATAAATACATATCTTAATATATCTTCTTTTGAACACAAAAGAGATATATACAACGGAAAAAGAATTTAACCTTGAACACATTGAATATCGAAAACACTTTTGTATAATTAATCTAAATAATCATAGTGATAATTAGAGTAATTAGAATTTGAGAAGTAAAAAAAAAAAAGAAAGGAAGAGAATGCAAAAATCTTTACGTGCAAATGAACAACAATTATACTATTTAGTGAATAAAGCACGTGAAAATGGTATAGCTAAATTATGTGGAAATTTATGGAAGAAAAGTTTAGATACTGGTAAATGGCAATTACGGTAAGTATAAAAAAATTATGTAATCAAAATAACAATAATTATTAATAATATTTGATAAGTGTTATTAATATTGAGATTGAAACAGGGACGTCAGTTTGGTGATGGAAGCGTTGATCACGAATACCACTTGACAATACTAGCGACAGCATTACACGACAGCTACGTGTTCATCTAAAGCTCACTGTATTTCGGCGAGAAGACAAAACGACGTGAGCTGGAAATTATATTTCAGCATCAGCTACAGTGTATTTTAAACAATAACGTATGATTTAAATTAGTCTATGATCACTGATCAATAAAATAGTGGGCGTTATTTTACGCAGGCCAGCTCTGATTGGTCTATTTCCACAGTGGACATCGATCACTTACGTAGTTCAACTCTGATTGGTTTATTTCCAGGCTGACCTTGTTCAGAATATCACACGAATAAAACATAATCCATTAACTATCTGTCTGTATATGATTTCACGCTCAATAGAAAAATACATATTACTTGAGGTCTGCACTGACTTTGAGGGGTTGGTCTGTTTTTTGCCAGATGGTAAGGAGTATTTGTGGCCTCCTATCTCTCATCTGAGTGTGAGAGGCTGTGGCACGCTTGAGGACAACTTTTTATTAGAGACGGGGGAGACTTTGGCGTCTTTGAATGTGAAACAGCAGTTATTCTATCTGGGGGGATGAATTTTTGGTGGACAAGCGCTGATTGGGAATGGTGTCTGCAGTGACTTGTTTAGGATGGCCATTGTGTGTGTGCCGCTAGGTAGAACCATTTTTGTGTCCAACATTATTGTAATCTTGGCACCGGTCGTGCTTATAGGGACAAGAAATGTCGAAATGTCGAGTACCACAAACAATACCAGCAGGATGGTAGAGATGTAATCTTTTTATACGTCGATTACTATTGCTATTGAGTAACTAGGATGATGGACGTTTGACGTAGGACCAGGAGGTTTGAAACCAGTGGTTGATGCGAAGGTTATGAGAGGTCTAACGAACTTCAGTAGTTTCCGGATCACTTCGGTGTACAGCCTCGACTGAGACAGTTGTTCGAAAATTTTGTTCAACGTCGAATAATCCAATAGCTCCATCGCTACCAGGGCTCAAATGTTGAAGGTTAGTTTAAACACTCAAATAAATCACACTGTTGAATTGTATTACTACTTTTTAGCTGAATGTAAGAATTAAAATTTCAAGGTAAATTACTTGGCTAACTGATATAAATTAGAGAATCAGAGGGCAATGGAAGTCTATTTCAGCCTGCTCAGTGATTCTTCAGCATAACATGCCTAGCATCAAACAAGGGACTCTAACCGCAGGAGGTCACCATTGATCAGTACATTAATTCATAAGTGACCGACTAAAGGATGGACTTTGTGGAGTTCCAGCGAGGATAAGTAATCTCTAGGATACAATTAGTCAGCTATGGTGAAATGTACTCACTGACCTCATCTGTCTGTTTTTCCGGTATTCTCTAAACGATGTCAGTTAGAGACGAGATCAGTGAGATTCCTGAAAATTACCACATGAGAAGAATAAAAATCGTCTGTTATTTTTTCAGCCCCTTGTCAGTGAAGTTAATACAAAATGTGTCGCGACGTTTGCTGACGAGACTCTCACCATTAGCAGCACAACAATAAGAACTAAGCCAGTAGTATGAAACCCACTACTTGGAATCTTGACTTTACGTAGATGTTCTGGTGCCACTTTCCATCACACTTCTCATTACGCCAATACAATTCTGCTGATTCGATACGTGTGGTGTGAATATTCGCCTATTATTATCCCCGTAATGTTTTGATAAGTTGTCTTCCCCAATCGTTTCTAGCCTGCTGTTCTTCATAGGACACATCTTAGTGTTCTTATCATCAGTTTTACATTCGCCTGTCAATTGGCTGTCAGTTCATTAGAATAAAGTGTCTTTAGATGTTCTCCTCAAGAATCTGAGTCAGTGAATTGCAATAGAATAGAAACATATATGTCAGATAACGAGTCATTCTTGTTGAAACGTCTCAAAATACGACCAGTAGTGACAACCTTTACCTGTTCATACTTGTGATTTGTGGTCCATATTTCTGAGCTGAACCAGTTGCCCTCATTTCAGCATAAATTTTAATACTCTGTCATGAGAACCTCATTGAAGTTACTCGTCTTCTTGTAGCTAACCAGTTCATCCCACTGTGGTGAAAACTGTCTGCAAGCCAAAATTGTAGACAACAATTTACGTCAATGTTTACGGCCCGAATCAGGGTCATGAGAAAAAAAAAACAATAACAAAGCTTAGCCCTGAGGAACTCAACAACCTTCACAGCAGACCTAACGGGTGAATATACGATTCGCAGATATATGACTTAACTTTCCAAAAAACGGTCACAAGCAGTACAGAATAACCTTCAGCGAAAAAACAACCACTCAGAAGACGTTGCTTCTTTGCTAACAATAAAGTTAATTATAATGTACATAAAAATCTATAAATGCCTCTTGATTTTCTCAATAAATGAATTGTTGTCTGACCCTTGTCTTCTGTCGTTAAACTGCCAAGGTCACTCTGTCACTGTGTGATGATGACATGCAAGTGAATGCAATGTGTTGCAATGACTGAACCGTTTTCCAGGTCATTTAACTTCGCAGGCTCCATCATTCTAGATGTCTAGCTAAATGTTTACATTCCAACAATCTAATTGACCCCGACCTACCAGTTTGACTGGCCTGTGTAGTTGACCCCACTCACAGTCAACATTATATGGCATTTGGTAATTAATATTATTGTTTTTTGCCTAAATGGATCGTTCCGGTGGGTCCTTTTGATGACAGAGTTTATCTCTGAGAGGTGGATGATTGGTTTGTTGGTGTAAATGCCACTCTAATTGCAGTCTCATTGAGAGTCATATGTAAGGCATCTGATGTTCATTCTTCAAACGGTAAAACAGTTATGACTGGTGTCGTTGTCCCCTCTTGTGCGTCGTTGACACAGCCGTAGAATGCTCTCCAACCATGCTCCATGTGGTCCGAGGTTAGATAACCGGCCACAGACGCACTTCCTTACCTCACTAAGCCGCCAATAAGATTGGTAAGGAGGGAAGGTAGGGCATGAGGCTAGCAATCCCATCCTTTAAAAATAAGCACCAATGCCACCGAAACTTCGAGCCTCTAGCTTGACCCTCTATGTTCCACTTGGGAACGTAAAGGAAATAAAAACGTTTTCCTTTTCTTTTACCTAGTGACTAGCTCCATTACAAAGCTGACATTATCTTTCTCGACAAAGTCGTCAAGGTGAACTTCAATATCAAGATATTGTCTAAGAAGATAACGGCAGGTTCACAGTTAAACCATCAAAGTTAGAAAGCCCAAGTTAGGCTATAATTAATCTTACCCAGAATTGGTAAAGATACTTTGGTTAAGTTAAATGTTGGCATAATCTTGCCAGGAGCCTAACTAGTAAGATTTATATAATGAAATCAGACAAGTAAAGAAAAAGAGAAGACGTTCAGTGAAGAAACTCTTTTCGGAGAATTCATTCAAATAGCTGTACAATCGCATTTATATATAATTATCTGTGTGCGTGTTTGTGTACATGAGGTTTGCCAAGTTTAGATAATTGATCGGGTAATACAAGAATGATCTAATATAGAAACAAGGTTAATCAGACAGCAACTAAAGTAAGATTGAGTTAGTAAGTTAGATGACGTAATATAATTGACTAAAATGTTTTAACTTAGGTCAGGATAGCAACAGAGGTAATTACAGATGGAGACTAAGTAGAAGTGGGGTAGAGAATAATGCCATTTAAATTAGAACTGAAATTGAGCAACTAAGTTGGATAACGTAACATAAATGACTAGAAACTGAGCGTTGTTCAAGTCAGTAACAGTGGTAGTGAGGTGTAGAAATTAAATCGGGTGGGAGTAGAGAACAAGAAAGTTTAAAATGTAAAATATTACAATTGAAAAGACAACATAATACTAATGAAGAGACAGAAAAAAAGAGATTAGGTAGAATTTATATGTCGGCTAATAAGATAGATTACGTCCATTGCAAGTGTAGTGATTGAACGAACTTCTTCTGTATGCAGAGTTCAGGACTTAGCAAGTGAATCGCCATTGCTTCTGCAGTTTTTAAGAAGTCTGATTCGTACAGCTTTAGGAAGACTACTTCTTACTCTGTAGACGACTTTGAAGTTTGTTTGCAGTGTAGCTTGGTGTCCGGATTCTATCAGATGTTCTTAGATGGAGCTGCGGGGAGGCATCGATTTTCTCCTTTGTAAAACCATGTTGGTAAGTGTTCGGTGATACGTTTGGAAAGCGAGCGCTAGGTAAAGAAAGAGAAAATATTACTAGTGTGTATAACTAACTGTCTACCAGAATTTATTTAGAAATATATGAGAGACCATAGAAAAAAATAAGATCAGTGATGTAAATGACAAAAATAGCATAAATAAAATAGAATTCAGGGCATTCTCAGTACAGCCTTATTAAGTAGGAGCATCAGAGGCCTTATATATGACTCTCAATGAGACTAAAATTAGGGTGGCATATATACCAACCAAGCGTCGGTGGCACTCGCTCGCCGACCATGCACATGGTCCGGGGTTCGATACCCAGCCGACGCACTCCTTTACCTCGCTAAGCCAGTAATAAGGCTGGTAAAGAGAAAAGGTTGGGCATGAGGCTAGCAACCCCATGCTGTAAAAATAATCACCCCTGTTACAGAAACTTCAATCCGCTAGCTTGAAGCCCTATGCTCCACTGGGAACGTAAAGGAATAAAGGAAAGTTATATACCAACTGACCAACCAACCAACCATCCACCTCTCTCAGAGATAAACTCTGTCGTCTTAAGGACTCACTCGAAAGATCCATTTAGGCGAAAGACAATAATATAATTTACCAAATGCTGTGTAATGATGACTGTGAGTGGGGTCAGTTACATAGATCAAACTAGTAGGTAAGGGTCAGTCAGATCGTTTCAACGTAAAACTTTAACTAGACACCTAGAATGATGTAGCCTACGAAGTTAAATAACCTGGAAAACGGTTCGACAGCTGCATTGCATTCACTTGCATGTCATCATCACATAGTATAGTGATTCGGACGGAGTGAAAGTAATAGAAAGTAATATGGTTTGGTGGAGTTTTGGTGAGTTTTATCACTGAATTAACAGTTGTCTTCGCTCAATACTCAAAATCAGATGGCCGACCAGGAAAGATCAGCAACAGAGATCTCTGGCAATGAGCGAACGAACACAGCAGGAACCGATTGTGAAACAAATAGGCAGGAAAAAATGGAGATGGATTGGCTGGCCATACTCTGAGGAAACCATCAAGTGACATCACTAGACAAGCCATTGCTCGAGTGGAACGCGAAAGGGAAGTGGCAAGTTGGTCGTCAGTGCAAGAGTGACTTGGAGGAGATCATATGAAGAGGAGATGAAAGCGTGTGGACAGACTTGGAGCCAGGTGTAGACTCTAGCAGAGAACCGAACGCAAAGGAGACGCACGGCTGAAGCCCTGTGTTCCTCTAGGAATTAAAGGAAACAAGAATAATAATATCACTGAATGTTTGTTTATCGATTCAACACCTCACATGTGCAGTTAGAGATATGGAAAGTGACAAGATACAACAAGAATAAGAGGGAAAGAGAGAAAGCCGCGACCAGTAAGGTAATGCAGGTTGAAGGTGAGGCAGTTACTCGTCGAAGAAGATATTGAGAAGCGGTCACGCCATATCATGAATTAGCAGCAGTTAGAATTCATGGGCTTGTCATTGGATAAGGTCTCAGTGGCATAATGGCCTACGACCTCGAACCGCTGTGTTGGGTGCGTACTGCTGATGAGTCCCAAACCAGGTTGACGAATCAGCTGTCTATTACTCACAGGTTTTCTAATAGTTCTCTAATTGATGTCAACCCATGATGAAGTCCTCCAACCAGATCAAACAAAATCCCTACAAAACTTGTGCTCGAAACTCTGTCATCCAGTTAATTGCCACAGCATCACTATATGATATTTGAAAACAACTTCTCTACTAATGTAGAATTACATTCTCCAGCACCACACTGCCCAAGTTCTACACCTACATTAATTCATTCCTCTCATTCCCATTAAAGTTTTCATAGGCGTCTTCAAATCAGCTTGAATTTTGTTATCCCATAAAATCTTGGAAACTTGTATATTCATTCGTAAACGCGAGAAAAATCAAGAACATTTTTCTAATCATCTTTTACAAACTTTTCGTTTTGTTTTGTTTTGTTTTGATGTTTTTCCCCTCATTTTTCGTGTATATTTTAGCTACTTCATTCTTTATCAAAACTTGTTATTCTACTTTGATTGTGAACGCGCTGAACGACCATCTGGTGTCATATTTCTTGAAAGCTCATACTGTCAACCCAATGTGAATTTAAAATCTAGCCGAGATGATAAAATTGGTGGACAGCAAGGGGTAAGTCAATAATAATAAAAATAATAACAATAATAATGTTTACAGGGAAACGTTTCAGATAAATACCTTTTATTCCTATTTTTAGGTCAGTTCTCATTCCTCATTGATTTATAATGTTAGACGAAAATGTCCGGTCCTAATTGATGATATTAGTATTATTATTGTTCCCTTGGGTTCCTAGGGGAACATAGGGCTTCAACTGCACGTCTCCACTTGCTGCTTCTGTCTTCTGCTGTACTTTTCACTTGCATCCATGTTAGTCAATACTGTTTCAGCTCCTCTTCGCACGACTTCCTCCATGTCACCCTTGCACGTCCCACTCGCCGCTTCCCTTTCGGGTTCCACTCGAGCAATGGCCTGACGCGCGATGTCACCCAACGGCCTCCTCAGCGAGTGTCCAATCCATCTCCACTTTCTCCTGCATATTTGTTGACCGATTGGTTCTTGTTTTGTTTGTTCCCATAGCTTCTTGTTGGTGATTCTTCCCGGCGGCCATCTGATCTTCAGTATAGAGCGAAGAAGACAGTTGTTGATAAAGGTCTGCAACAGGCTGTTGGAAATATTCTTTGTGACCCACCAAGTTTCTGATCCATACGTATAGAAGAACTGACTGACTTGACGTTTGTATTGAAAATCCGAATTTTGTTGTTGATGCAGGCTGAGTGACGGAGATTTCCAGATTGGTTTCAGGTTGATGAATGTGTTTCTCGCCTTCCCGATTCTCGATTTGACATCCTCGTCCGTCCGTTCCTGCTGCAGTTGAGACAATGCTCCCTAGATAAGTGAATGAAGTAACCTCTTTCGAATCCCTCTCGTTGATGGTGATTGGCCCTGGATGTTGTTGCTGTTGTTGTTGTTGGTTGGTTATTTTCATAACCTCCGTCTTGTCTATGTTCGCCTGGAGTCCTGTCTTTGCTGCTTCTTCGACTAGTTTGTTGGTTTTCGCTTGTAAGTCTTCGATTTTGTGTGACATCAAACATGAATCATCCACGCGCGAAATCCAGGTCTCCTAGTTTCTTCATGGCGAAATCTAGTCTTCTGGGTTCTTCACGTCGGTCCAGGATATCCCTGTCTTCTCGTTTCCCACTGTCTGACGCATAATCCAGTCCACCACAATTAGGAATATCATTGGTGATAATAAGCACCCTTTTCTGACTCCTGTGTTTACTTCAAACGCCTGATGATATGACCCCAACTAATGTGGACACCTTGACAGTGTCTGAAGATTACCATTATTTTTGTTATCCTCTTGGGTTCCGATTGGAACTTTACGGCTTCCCTGAGGTAGTGATCAGCTGGCCTCATGACTGCCCACAATCTCCTATCTCCTCCTCAGACGATTTCCTCCATGTCAAAGTCGGACCCACGCCCAACTCGTTGTTTCACTTTCGGCTTCCACTGGAGCTCTAGCCTGGCGCTCAATATCACACGGCAGTGTGTTCACATCTCGTGTCTGATCAGTCTCCATTTTTTTCGGTATATTTCCTGGTTAGTTGGTTCCCAGACTACCTTATTGCTAATTCTTTCTAGCCGTCTATTTGATCTTCAACATGGAGTCAGTGAATTCAACTATCGATTAGGGACTAGAGTGGTTCACTGGAAATGCTTTCCATGATGCGAACACTAAGTTTCTGACCTGTATGGAGAAAGTAGCTAACTTAACACTAGTGCTGAAAATCCAAATTTCGTTGTCTATGTTAAGGTGGAGTGCAGAAGTTTTCCAAACTGATGTCAGAGTGATGAAGGTCTGCCTTGTACTTTCGATTCTGGTTTTGCCATCTTTATCCATGTCATCTGTCTATAGTTGGGGCGATTCTGCCTTTCAGATTTATCTCGTAAATAGTGATCAGTGCTCGTTGTTGTTGATTGGTTAGGTTCATCACCTCCGTCTTCTCTATGTTGACTTGAAATCCTGTCTTTGCTGGCTACTTATTCTGCCAACTTGTAGGTTTTTACCTGTGAGTATCGGGGTCTATGTGACATTAGAGTTGAGTTGTTTGTCAAGTTCAGACCTCCTAGTGTCTTTTTATCAATCTAACGTATTCTCGTTTCCTACACGTCATGTCCCACATAATCCAGTTCACCACACTTGCGAACATTACCGGTAATAACAAACAAGCAGCTTTGTCTTACTCCTGTGTTCATTTCAGTCTTCAACGAACTTTCCACTGTGGATAAGCTGACACGTGGCACCGTTATACAGCTGTCGAAGGAGGTTAATGACGATGTAGATAGAGCACTGCACTCCATAGTGTTGAAGTAGTATTGAAATCACTTCACAGTAGGCGGATTTGAGACAGAGAAATTTGGCTGCACACTGTATGCTTTGTTCGATGATGCTGCGTAGAGTTGCACTTAAATTACACATTACTGGCTTTTTTTCTGAATCCAGATTGTTCTGCGGGCGGAGTGCTGCATCCAGTACATGTTTTGTCTTAGCAGATTGAATTTAAGTACAAAAAGTTCAGCGAAGACTCTCTTTTCGGCGAATTCGTTCACATTTATATAATTATTTTGTGTTTGAGTGTGCGTTTACATTAGGATTGCCCAAGAAAAAAAATTAGAGGATTTCATCATCAGCTGACATTAGTTAGAGAAACATTGGAAAACCTGGGAGTACTGGACAGTTGTTTCGTCCAAGTTTAGAACTCTTCATCAGTACGCACCCCACCGACAGGGTTCGAACCCAGGACCTTCTGGTTACAAGGTGAGCTCGTATACCATTAAGCCACTGGGACCCAATCCAATGGTCACTGCATGAATTCTAACTTCTGCCAATTCACGACATAGCCCGACCCCTAGCCAATGTCTTCCGTGGTGAGTATTTGTCCTCACACCCGACCTGCTGCACCCTACTGGTCACGACTTCTCACTTGAACCCCAGGTAACTACCTACCAGAATAGGGCAAGCCACTAGTGAGCATCTCATTGATATCCAACACTTGAAAAAAAATTAGTTAGGTTTATTGCTTTTATTATCAAAATGTTTCAAAAATGTGACGAATAATCAGATTGTAACTAAGGGGTTGAAGACTGGTAAGTACTGACAAGGGTTTCGTGATATGAAAACACCCAGAAAAATAGGATGCTAATCTGCATCCCCGAATCAGTAGAAGAAGAGGTCGCTCTTTTGAGGATGGCACGACTTCAAAATAGCTATCTCCCCACTAGGCTTTACAGATAAACACACAGAGGCTGAAAAACAATAAAGAACAACCCATCTCTGTGCCGAAGAAGATGCTATACATGAATGTGGCGTTCAGAGGCAGCCTTAGGACCGAAATCCTGAAGAGAGGAATATCTAACGCCCTGAAAAGAACATTCTTTGCTGCTACATTACGACTGGTATTCTCAAGCCCCCACCAATTGTTTTCCAACAACTCCAAAGATATGAGCTGACATTAGTTAGAGAACCATTGGAAAACCTGGGAGTACTGGACAGCTGTTTCGCCCTATTTTGGGACTCTTCATCAGTACGCACCCACCTGTAACCAATCAAATCCCTACAAACCAACACTTGAATATCAATGAGATGCTCTCTAGTGACTTGCCCTATTCAAGTAGGTAGTCACCTGGGGTTCTAGTGAGAAGTCGTGACCAGTAGGGTGCAGCAGGTCAGGTGTGAGGACAAATACTCACCACGGAAGACATTGGCTAGGGGTCGGGCTATGTCGTGAATTGGCAGAAGTTAGAATTCATGCAGTGACCATTGGATTGGGTCCCAGTGGCTTAATGGTATACGAGCTCGCCCTGTAACCAGAAGGTCCTGGGTTTGAACCCTGGCTGTGAGGTGGGTGCCTACTGATGGAGAGTCCCAGATTACGACGAAACAACTATTCAGTACCCCCAGGTTTTCCAATGGTTCTCTAAGGAATGTCAGTTCATAATGAAATACTCCAACCAAAGATTTAGAGCACTGCACTCCATCAACGCTGTTGAAGGCCTTTTTTAAGTCGGCGAATATGGGGAAAAGAGAGATGTGACTGCCATTTTATTCTCTGTTTAATGATGGTGTGTACAGTTTCAGTTTCACCGCACCTGACTGGCTTTTTTCTGAATCCAGCTAGTTCAGCCGGCGAAGTTACGCATCTAGTGCATCTCAGCAGAATGACGTGACTTAATATTCTGCTTGGCAATGGACAAGATTAGGATTTCATACCAGTTTTCAACGATGTTAACCTCCAATTAATTTGCCAGTTAAATGATTCTGGTTAAACATATCGCAGTCGATTATAATAACTTTAATGGCTACCATAAACTTTTCAAACGTTTTTTTCAAATCTACGAAATTCCACAAAAAATCTATAAATTAAGTTTTCCTCTAAACCAATTCAGGTGCATTTTAACGTTTTACTCTCATCAAACCGTCTACTAACCTCATTCAAAGGTCTTCAGTTACCCGTAGTATGTTCTCACAAATTTCCGTATCTGAATTTGAAGTTGAGGAGCATTTTGCGTGTGTTTGTGTGTGCGTGTATGTTAAACATATGTCCTCCACATAGGTGCGTTTATGAGAAAAAGAGGGCGTACTAAGTTATATCTTTGAAGTATTGAAAACAATTTTTCAATACCTTTCAACGCTTGATTAATTTGACATTTACGTTTAACGCTACACTTGTTGTTATTGTTCAATTTCCAATGGACATTGAGTGAGTGAGTTAGTTGTTTATTGACGGAATTAAAATGAGCTTATGGTTATAGGATTGTATGAAAGTGAAATAGCTCTTGCATGACAATGTTCAGAAAAGTTTACGTATGCTACTATATATATATATATATATATATATATATATATATATATATATATATATATATATATATAACAGTACTGACTGAGAGGGAAGTTGAAAGTAATATATACAAGAAGAACTCAGTTAAATATGACAAGACGCCATAGTGAGTACACACTGTTGAGAAGTCTCACAGAGCTGTTTCGTGCGCCTTTGGCTCTCTATCTGACAACTATCCATAAAAAGTTCTGTTATAAATCCTTTTACAGC